GGACTCTTCTACCATCGTCAAGGGCTCTTGGATCTACCATCCCAGCTGCTGGAATATCTCTTCGGTAATTCATCACAGGGAAAGCAACACCTTGATTGTTGACAGGAGGAGGACGCTCATTCTGGGCAACAAACTGCTCATGTCGATCTCGGTTCTCAACAGAAGGCTGTATAACTTGGTCTGCAGCGACATTGTTCACTTGCGGGAAATCTTCCATGGAATCATACAGAGGGTTGGACGCCATAGTGAACCCTGTCAAGGTGTTAGGAGACTGGAAATTGCCTTCAGACATGGCTACCAATAATCTTCAGCTGACTTCGACACTTGATTCTGCTCAAATCTACTCAACCCCTAGGTAGGTCTTCTGACAATCAAAAGCTGCTCAATCCAAACTCCGGGTAATCACCTTCAGGAAACAAAGGCTGGATCAGAACTCTGGCTAGCTGGAGGATGATATGCAATGCAACACTGATATGCATATGATATGCAAAATGCAGCAAACAATGGGACCACAGCCCCACACAAAATCTGAATACTGCTGCGCTGCTGACGGAGACGTTCTCTGAAGAGAAGACCAGAATAACGGGTAGGTTGGAAGTCAAGGTTCCTGCACAAAAAAAATCCCCCCCACTCACAGGTATGGACCTATATCTGACAAGGTACGGCATCCTATGCGGTCGTCAGCGTCACAGACTTTCATGAGGAATGATACGATTCCCAGAAGGAGTGGCATCGTCATCTCATGAAGAGGCCTCACTTAGCTAACTTCCAATTGATCGGTTCCCAGAGTCGACAATCCTCACGTCTGGACTCCCCTCAGATCCTCAGGACCGGAAAGGAGCACCTCTGCGAGAACCTCGTCCGAGTGCGAATTTTCGTAGGGAACTGCGCCTGCTCAGCAGACAGGTTCGTCTACTACTTCTCCGCAACTATATCTAGGTGTATACTCATACTCGAGCCCAGGTCCGGCTTATCTCAATCATAGAACACCCGTAACAGCCCAACAACAACAGATAATACTGATAAATAAACACCTAATAGACAAGCAAACGAGCGCTAGGATTGACTCTCTCGAGGGACGTTGGATCCCAAATGCATAAGAACCATCGCAGTCCTTAGCAGCCAGGGGACGTTGGATCCCCAGCAGAGTCGCCAGCTGTCGCTACTGCGAAAATCGGCGCCGGCTGACAGAAGAGTCGCCACCGTGCGTTATTTATCCCTCAGAGCGGGAAAGGAAACGCTCGAAGTAAACCTCGCAAAAAACGGGGAAAAGGTATGGTCATCGCAACCATAGCCTGGGTTCGGGAGTCGGTTACGCAAGGGGAAGGTATTAGCACCCCTCACGTCCGTCGTACTCGACGGGATCCACGCTTGCTTGGGTTGTCTACTGGATGCAAAACAATCTATCTACGGCTGCTAAATCTAAACAGAAGGGAATTGACTCGATAGAGCATCACACTCTATGCCTACGTATTCTCAAGAGAGAAAGTCAGAGTCAACGTAGTTCGGGCTAACTACAACTAAACAAACATTCTCACACAGCAGTGAGAAAAACAACTGGCTTCACAGGGTCGGGAACCTATGGTCAAAGCTATGGCTGAGTCTCAAATGCACTGGGGCAAGAGAAAAAAAGGGTACTCAATTAATCGTCAGCGGGAAAGTCTCGATCGCACAGCCGCGAGAGAACAAAAGTCAATCGTTAGTGCGCTCGCTAGGATATCGCATCCTATGCCTACATATCTTCGTCTGGTACGAAGAATCAGAGCAGCTGTAGTTCAGCTACTACTGGACCACAGCTCAAATCTCGTTTTATTCATCTCTGAAAAATGATTACAATGGTTGCATACTGAAATAAATCTCCTAGGAAACGCTATCCTATTCTATCCTGAAAAATCGAATGAAAATAGCCCCCTAACAAATGGGCCTCTAATTCTATCCCTAAAAGTCGAGAAATAAAATCTATGAAAGTATCCCTAAAAGAAAATGCTTGAAAAATATTAAATCGAAACTTTAATATTTTTTCTTTTTTTCTCCTTTTCTCTTTTCTCATATTTTTCTTTTCTCAAAAATATTTTCTTTTATTTTCCTCACAATATTTTCTCTTTGAATATTTTCTCCACATTTTCTTTTTCTTTTCTTTTTCTATTTTCTCAAATATTTCTTTAATATGATTTTTTTTCAATATTTTTTATGACATTTCTTTTCTCTTCTTTTTGAATATATTTTTTTCCTCATTTTTCTTTTTCTATTTCCTTTTTTTTTTTATTATTATTTTTTTCATATGGAATATGTATAAAAATGTAAAAGAAAAAAACATAAAAGACAAAAAAACATAAAGGGGGGGGGGGGAATACTGAATTACAAGGGATTACAAAAAATAAAAATAAGAAATCTGAAGGGCCCAGCCCAATCACTTCAAAAACGCAGCAGGGGGGTGTATGGTAGTCTGGGAGGTATTGCCAGAAAAATTAGGGCCCAGGCCCAAAGCTGGCTCCAAAAACGGAGGGAGCGTATGCCAAAAAAAGACTGGGCCCGAGGCCCACGACCCATACGCCCCTTCTCCTTTCTCCCTTCCACTCAGTTTCAGAAAAACCCTAGATGCTTCTCCTTTCTCTCCGCCGCCGCTACCACCTTAATCCCCTCCGTCTCCCTCGTTCTCCATCCTTCGTCCTCACTCTTTCTCTCAATCTCTTCCTCACAAACCTCACCAACGTAATCATACTCACCAACGAACCATAACAATCTTACTGAAGGCATTGATGATCTCTTGCAGATGATGAAGTTCTTCTTGAAATTTTGTTGGACGAAAACCTAGATTTGAACATTGGATGAAGATCTGGGATCTTGTTCGTGCTTGACGAAGATCCTGAACCTAGTTCTGATGAAGCTTGAAGAAGGCCCGGAGATGATATGAAGGTCCCGTTGAAGGTCTGATGAACAAATCTGGAGAGTTCTTGAACACTTCTTGAAGATTGGTGAAGTAGTGAAGCTGGACCAGAGATTTCTTCTGGAGATCGCTGATGAACAAACTGGAGATTTGATGAAGTTATTGTGATGTGGATGAACTTCGATGATGGAGATTCGTTGAAGTTGTTGGTGGATTCAGAGAGTTGGTGTTGAACGATGATTCTTGAGGTGTTGATTGTTGAAGATCTTGAAGATGTTCTTCTGGAAGGTTGAATTTCTGGAAATCCGATATTGATGACGAATGTTCATGGATGAACTCGTTCGCGATTGATAAGATCTTCTGGAGATTTGTAAAACAGATGAATGTTTCTGGAGTTTGTTGAAGATTTCTGGTGAGATTAGTGGTGGTTTCTGGGAGTTTAGTGGTGGCGATGAAGGGGAGAAGATGAAGGTTAGGGAGGTTGGTGATGGAGATCTGGAAATTCCAGTTTCCGGTGGGGAGTTGGGGGTGGCCGCCGGCCATGCAGGCCGGCCGGCGATGGTTTTCAGGCGACGCTCTATGAGGCTTACACGTGGGGCCGGTGGTGGAGATGCGCCCTGCATGCGTGCCACGTGGTGGCAGCGTGGCTGAGAGAGAGAGAGGATTGGGGTACGCGTGGCGTGCTGAAATGTGAAAAGGTGGGGCCTCCCCCTCGTGGACACGTGTTACTGGGGTATTTAAATGCTGAACTCTTCTGGCGCTCTCTGGAACATTCTAGAAGGGACTGGAACTAGCTGGAATGCGCTGGACTAAATTGGACTCATTTTTTGCTGAGTTTTCTGGACAAAAACGAATGGGCCTTTACCAAATTACTGGGCCTGCGAAAAAACTGAAAGAAACTCACAAAAAACTGAAAAAAAACAATATTAAAAATATGCTAATTAACTAACAAATAAACCCCTAATCAAACATTAAATCCAATTAATCCCTATATTAAATTCTATAATATCTATAAAAGAAAATAAAACCTATCTATTTTTAATAAGGAAAAATCTATTCATTTATTATTATTATTTCTATTTAAATTCTATTTAAAAATTATACTAATATTCTAAAAAAATCCTATATTATCTAAAAATATTAAAAATCTATTAAAACCTATTAAATCCTAAAATGAATTTGAAAATCTATTATATTCTATAAAATGCTAAAAATTGATTTAAAAAGAATTAAAAAATATCAAAAATTCTATTAAATCCTAAAAATTGATTTAAAAGCTATTTTAAACCCTAAAAAATCCTATAAAATCCAGAAAAATCAAGATAATTCCCAGAGGGACAAAATGAACACCGAACGACACAAAAATAATCGGTAAAAATAAACGGGCACCGAAATATCCCAAAAATCAATTCTACTGACTTAAACTGATAAAAACACTTGAAACACGAGACGGGAGCTGTGATCCCTGATAAAATCAATACAAATGAACAATGCAATGTATGCGATATGCAGATGCGAATGCGATTATGCGTCGAAACATCGAGCCAAATGCGAGACCCGGTTGGTCAAATTTTGGGGTGCAACAGGTCTGGGTTATGTTTTCGATCCAGTTGGGTTATGACCCAAATTTGCTTTCTTTTTAAGGGAAAAATACTCGTGTTACTGTTCACCTAGTTACATTTTCACGAAAAATACATTCAGAGCTTTGAGAGAACCATGGAGAGCTAATTTCTTAGAGTCATTCTGCTGTAATCGCGTTCCAACGGTTTGAGGTTTTTACTTTATAAATCTAATTCGTTTCTCTTTCAACACTATTCTATGAATTGCTTTTGCTTAATCTGTTAGTTTATAGAATTATTTTGATTAAATTCGTATGATTGCATCCTAAGCTTTTATTCGCTGTTACGTCGCTTTGTCGTTAATTCGCGTTTATAATTCGTGTTTGCTTAATTCACGAAAACTTAATCCGTTTGCTTAATTTGGAATATAGGATTTTTAATCTAGTTTATGTCTTTTGCGCTTGTTAAAGAAATGGTGTAATATTTGGTCACCTTAACTTAATTCTCAAGAAACTATTATAGTTTTACTAGCATATAAATTGTTCTTCTAACATCTAAGAGTTGTGCACAGAAATCAACGGTTGGATAAGGGAAGAACTGTCAAGTTTTTCTTCGGGATGATTTTCAGGCTCATCAGACTTGGTTTCTTGACTTCTTCCCCATACAACAAGGTATAAACCAGTTATAATTAAGATGGCTCCAATAACCCTGCATCTCACAATTTAAAACAACAACAGGTTTTGCTTTCTTCAAAATTTTATGGAAACAAAATGAAATTGAAGTTACTATATTGAGAACATACCCTCCCAAGAAGAATTCTTCACCAAAAGCAATGGATGCTATCAAAGCTACAAGCGATGTCTGTAAAGGCAGATAGATTGAAGCAAGCACTGGCCCTCCTTTGCTGATAGTCCATATCTGTATTGCTGCTGCCACCCCTGAAATCACCGCTCCCTGATACAGAAAAAACACCGAGCCGAATTCATATACCATAACATGAAATCATTCTCATACTAGTGAAAGATCAGATTGAGAAATCAAGTTTGATTTACGAACCGAGTACAAAATACTATAGGCCTCGTCGATGGAATTGAGCTGCCAAGCCTTGGGATCCTTCTCAAGAAATGCTGCAATTGTCCCAAATTGCACAATACCAAATAAGCAAGTAAAAGCAGAAATAGTGAGTTGTGCTGAATAATTTTTCAGAACAAATGCTTGCATCACAATCCAACCAAACCAACTTAAACAATGACCAAAGAGAAAAATTCCACCCAAGCCCAAAATTTTCCCATTAGCTTCCTCAAATAGAAACAAGAATCGTCTCTGATGTACTGCTAAACGTGATTCTGGAGCATAAATTGTTGGTCCTTTATAAAGGGTAATGATTGAAGCTCTTCCAACAGAAGCAACTACTCCAAGAATCTTAGCAATACCATTTATCCTATTTAAGCGCAACCTCTCGTATCTGCAATTTCTCATGCATAATCGAACAAGTTCATGAATATATAATAAAAAAGATCTGAACTTTAAGCTCTAGAGAACAAGGGTTATTAGTATAACTCGCCTTAGTATCACAGCCATCAGAAATGTAAGAGCAGGAACAGAATTCTACATAGCAGAAGCAAATGTTGGCGATGTATTATCCAAACCCACAAGGTAAAATCCTTCGTTCATAGTTATTCTACAAGAATCAAACATGTAACGTTTAAAGTTACACAAACATGTTTTGAACAAATATAAAGATGAATGAAATGACTTCATGAAAAGAGAATGTACCCTACAAGTCCAAGTAGGAAAAAATGTAACAAACAATAACTGGTTATTGGTGGCCTATCTTTCCTTGCAAGAGGGAAACACATAAAAACAATAACAAAAAAAAGTGAGAAAATTGAATACTATAATCAAAGGTTGGTATAGAGGTAAAGTACAATACTTTTCAGTGAAATATGCGAGCGGAGCTAGAAGAATGAAAGCAATGATGTTTCTATAGACAGGAAAAACAAGCTTGATGACTCCTGTATTGAGTGCAGTTCTGAGAAATATATGATTTCCTGCATGACAGAATTGTAAAAAAGTTAAGGCTGTGTGAAGCTTAGCTCGTTCAGACATCATATTCTTTTGGTGTTGTGTTTTTTGCAGGAGTCGCCCCTAGAGTGCTGATAACGAAAATCCTTCCATTAACATTCAAGCACTCAATATTTTTCTGAAAGCAAGATGTTCTAGTACAATCAAGAATAACATCAACACCTACCACAAAATCAATGGTAATAATATTACCTCATCAAAAAACAAAGATATCAAGAATCTACACCAAGCTTCATACCTCGACCACCAGTTTCTTCCTTCATTCTAGCAGCAAAGTCCTCAATTTTGTAATTGATGCAAACATCGGCTTGAATCTTGCACAATAAGATAACTTCTCTTGATCATCTGCATAGTAATATCTAGAATCAAATTTCTACAAACATAGCTTGTAATTTCAATCCTGTCAAGGCTTAAAGACATCAAACTGAGTAAATATTCAAAAACATGAAAAGAAATAGTGAACCTGCAACTACAATTACTCTTGATCCACCCAACTTAGCTGCCTTAATTGCAAATGCGTCGATTCTGCCAGAACCTCCATGAATCTGAGAATTCATAAAGTTAACATGAAGATAAAAGATCAATAGCAAGGCAAGAATCAAGAACCATGCTTACCAACAAGGTTTCCCCTCTATATAGTCTGCTGGTGATAAAGATAGATGACCAGACAGTACATGCAGCGAAGGGAAGACTAGCCACTTCCTTGAGAGAAACCTCGATTGGCTTCCCCTTCCTACGAAAGAAGCCACTATTACAAGAGAAGCAGAAAAGCTCAAACCGGAGAAGACTCACCACCGCCGTGAGGCTCAAATCATCCTCGAGGATTCATCATCGCCTCACCGCCACCGTTAACGAGCCGCCGCCGACTCCTATTCTTGGGTAAAAGCTTGTTTTCTTCGAATAACTTTTGCAATCTATGTTGAGCTGCAGGTTAACCACCAAAACGCGAAGCAACAAGGAGAACGGAGAAGCTGCAAAATTCCAGATGAAGACGAGGAGATGAGAAAGAAGGGCATTGGACGGCGTTGGAGGGAAATTTGATTAGGGTCCAGATGAAGACGAGGAGATCACAGGACAGCGTTGGAGGGAAGTTTGATTAGGGTTTCTAGTTTGTTCAAGTTTGTTCAAGATACCCAATTCGATTCCTGTATGATGCACACAAAATTTAATTTGTTTTAAGTAAATAAAACTTCTTAGGTCAGGTGGAAGACACCTGACTTAATAAATTGATTTTTTAAGTCAGTTAGTAACCACATTTGACTTAAGAAATTTTTGTTAAATCAGTTTTAAATGCACCCGACTTAACAAAGTTACAAATATTTACGAAATTGCCACCGCATAACTTCTTAAGTTAGGTGGTAGGTGAACTGACTTAAGAGCCTCTACTATAAAGTACTTTTTCTACTAGTGTGGGAGCGCTTAAGCGTCTCCCCATGGACACCAACCTTAGGATCTATGACATTTTGATATTAATAATTATAGGAATACCTTGACGAATATAATGAGAAAGATTTTTAGATAATGACAACGATAATTCTAAAATACAAAAGTGTAGATACAAGTGTTTGACACTGGTTGGCTTGTGGATTTTGCTCAACTGGTACTCGTAATGTCCTGAAAAATCTTCGAATGGGGATAAAAAGAGATAATCTTTTTACAGCATGATATATTTGAGATCATAGCCTATATATAGAATGATGATCATTTAGAATTCTCATTATTTCGAAATGGATTATCTTGACATCCACTTATATTTATGCACATATTCGTTTAAATAATTAATTATTAAATATAATTAATTATTTTATTTACTTACTTAACTGATATAGACTCTTATATATATATATATATATATATATATATATATATATATATATATATATATATATATATATGTATGTATATATATATATATATATATATATATATATATATATATATATATATATATATATATATATATATGTATGTATATATATATATATATATTGCTCTGTCCCGCTCATCACACGGGGTCGACCCAATCCATCTCTCCGTCGTGGAGGGCCTAGCTCATCACGCTGGGAGCCCTTAAGCATCTCCCCATGGAAACCAACCTTAGGATTTATGACATTTTGATATTAATGATTATAGGAATACCTTGACGAATATAATGAGAAAGAATTTTAGACAATGACAACGATAATTTTAAAATACAAAACTGTATAGACAAGTGTTTGACACTGGTTGGCTTGTGGATTTTTCTCAACCATTACTCGTAATGTCTTGAAAACTCTTCGAATGGGGATAAAAAGAGATAATCTTCTTATAGCATGATATATTTGAGATCATAGCTGATCCGCGATTGCGCGCGGATCAAAACGAGTGTTTTTGATGAAAACGTGATACAACGACAATTCAACTCAGATATCATCTCAAGGATTCTTGTATGTGATTAATCTACCGAATTCGAAATGGGGGGGCAGTTGGTTTGGTTTCTGATCGATTAAATAAAGAAAATGTAATTAAACGGTTAAAATAAGTGATTATGAAATAAGTCAATCTACCGATTCGGTTCCTACTATCATCGATTATTATAATTTTAATATTCTAAATGTCACTCCTATCTGGATACAAACTCAATGGCAAGCGCACTAAGGTTGCATGATTTATGATCCTAATGGCCGAATTAAGCAAACGGTATTAAACTTCATGAATTAAGCAAACATGATTATTCAGACACAAAAACGAATTAAGCAAACGTGAAAGTATCCATGTTAGGATCATCCAATCAACCAAATTAAATCAATAATATCATGCAATCGAATTAAGCATACAAGAGCATAAAATTATTGAACGGAATAAACAAATAGTAATAATAATATAATAATCTCAAGTGTTGGAATCTGAATTACGGTAGACCGACTCAGAGCGATTAGTTCTCCATAGGATTCGTAAAAACTCTACAATATTTTTTTTGCGTGAACTATAACAGCGTGAACAGTACACACGTTCTCCTTAAAAAGATAAAAAATGGATCCGATTCAAAACCCAACTGGGTCGAAAATATAACCCAGGCCCATAACATGACCCAACACTAAAATAAAATTCTAATGCTGTAACTTGAAACGAAATTCTGGAATTTTGAGCTCCGAATCTGACTTCGACTCCAACACGAAATTCGTAACTCTCCCCCTTAACTTTCCGGTGATTTTTAGAACGCCTCAAACGGATTCCCGGAGCTCTAGTTATGATTGTTTCCGTGCAGACTCCTAAAGCTGAAAAATAAGAGTGAAAATTAAATTAAACCAAAAATAAAATAAAATATGAAAACATAATAAAATATAATAATAAGAAAAATAAAATAAAGAAATGCCTAAGTAAAAATTGGAGAGAATGTGCATAAAAATGCACTGATCAATAGCCTAAATATAGAATGATGATCATTTAGAATTCTCATTATTTCGAAATGGATTATCTTGACATCAACTTATATTTAAGCAGATATTCATTTAAATAATTAATTATTAAATATAATTAATTATTTTATTTATTTACTCAACCGATTAAGACTCTTATATATATATATATATATTGCTCTGTCCCGCTCATCACACGGGGTCGGCCCAATCCATCTCTCCGTCGTGGAGGGCCTAGCTCATCACGCTGGGAGCCCTTAAGCGTCTCCCCTTGGACACTAACCTTAAGATCTATGACATTTTGATATTAATGATTATAGGAATAGCTTGACGAATATAATGAGAAAGATTTTTAGACAATGACAACGATAATTCTAAAATACAAAAGTGTATAGACAAGTGTTTGACACTGGTTGGCTTGTGGATTTTGCTCAACCGGTACTCGTAATATCTTGAAAACTCTTCGAATGGGGATAAAAAGAGATAATCTTCTTACAACATGATATATTTGAGATCATAGCCTATATATAGAATGATGATCATTTAGAATTCTCATTATTTCGAAATGGATTATCTTGACATCCACTTATATTTAAGCACATATTCATTTAAATAATTAATTATTAAATATAATTAATTATTTCATTTACTTACTCAACCGAGAAATATCCTCGGACAAGTCAAATTATAATCTTATTTATTAAAAAAATAAAAAACTATCAAATAATGAATCTAATATTAATGACACATTATTTAAAGATACAAAATAATAAAATTATTTTTTTACTAATCTGAATTTATTTACCGATCATCTAGTAGCTCAATCGATTAGAGTGTGAGTCATATTTTTTATACATTTTTTCTTCAAAGTCTTCTGATATTATCTTTTTCTTCACTTTCCTATCTTATAATGTCATTACCATAATATACCTCTCATTTGATAAGATGATATATCTCTCATTTCATGACAGTTTATGGTACATATGAATTATACTATTCAAATTTTTTATGCTATTATGACGAGTCTCTAAACAATAGTCATTGATTTATTTTTTGACAGAAAAATAAATTTGTAAAGGTATTGTTTTATGAAAAAAAATTAAGTTTTTCAATAAAAATATGAGATTGTCATTTCTATAAATATTATTCTTCTATAGGATTAATATACAACTTAACTAATTTTAACTTTAGAAATATTAACGCATCAAATGTATTAATATAAAACTAATGTTATTTTGAGGTTATATAACGATAAGAACAAAAGAATATAATAAGATTAATAATAAAAGTGAATTAATAAAATATCAAATACAAATATTTCAAAAACTTAAAACTAGAGGATAAAGATCCAAACTAATTAACCACTCTCCTTGATTCATTGTCCTTATGGTAACTACTCTTCAACTTCAATATACTTCAATTAGTAATTTGTTTTTCATTCAACTAGTAAATTAGTGATTATGTTTTCGTAACAACAAGTATTTTTATATTTTTTTTTGTTGTTGATACAATATGTGTTTTAATTTAAAAAAAAAGGAAAATTGAAAAATATATCTACTTTTAAAAAGTAAAAAACAAAAAAATAATAGTGTCATAGTTTTGACTGAAAAATATAGAAATTCATTTAGGACTCAATCTCCGTTGAGATATGTGGGATGGGGAATAATATTCCTCCGTGGCAGGGAGTAGAGAAACATCCTCGGACAAGTCAAATTATAATCTTATTTATTAAAAAAATAAAAAACTATCAAATAATGAATCTAATATTAATGACACATTATTTAAAGATACAACATAATAAAATTATTGTTTTACTAATCTGAATTTATTTACCTATCATCTAGTAGCTCAATTTATTAGAATGTTGTGCTAATAACGAGTCATATTGTTTATACATTTTTTCTTCAAAGTCTTCTGATCTTATCATTTTTTTATTATCCTATTTTATAATGTCATTACCATAATAAGCCTCTCATTTGAAAAGATGATTTATCTCTCATTTCATGACAGTTTATGGTACATATGAATTATACTATTCAAATTTCTTATGCTATTATTATGACGAGTCTCTAAACAATAGTCATTGATTTATTTTTTGACAGAAAAATAAATTTGTAAAGGTATTGTTTTATGAACAAAAATTATTAATTTTTTCAATAAAAATATGAGATTGACAGTTCTATAAATATTATTCTTCTATAGGATTAAGATATAACTTAATTTATTTTAAACTTTAGAAATATTAACGCATCAAAGGTATTGTTATAAAAAAAAAATTTATTTTGAGATTATATAACGATACCAAACAAAAAAGTTTAATAAGATTAATAATAAAAGTGAATTAATAAAAATATCAAATACAAATATTTAAAAAACTTAAAACTAGAGGAATAAAGATCCAAACTAATTAACCACTCTCCTTTATTCATTGTCCTTATGGTAATTACTCTTATACTTCAATATACTTCGATTAGTAATTTGTTTTTCATTCAATTAGTAAGTTAGTGATTATGTTTTCGTAACAACAACTATTTTTTTTTGTTGATACAATGTCTTTTAATTTAAAAAAAGGAAAAATGCAAAATATATCTTCTTTTAAAAATTAAAAAACAAAAAAATAATAGTGTCATAGTTTTGATTGGAAAATATAGAAATTCTTTTAAGACTCCATCTCCGTGGATCTCTGATTCTCTGTGGAGATATGTGGGATGGGGAATCATATTCCTCCATGGCGGCGAGTCGAGAAACATCCTCGGACAAGTTAAATTAAAATCTTATTTATTATAAAAATAAAAACAATCAAATAATGAATCTAATATTAATGACACAATATTTAAAGATACAAAATAATAAAATTATTGTTTTACTAATCTGAATTTTTTTACATATCATTTAGTAGCTCAATTTATTAGAGTGTTGTGCTAATAATGAGTCATATTTTTTATACATTTTTTCTTCAAAGTCTTCTGATTTTATCATTTTTTCGTTATTCTATCTTATAATGTCATTACCATAATATCCCTCTCATTTGAAAAGATAATTTATCTTTCGTTTCATGACAGTTTATGGTACATATGAATTATACTATTCAAATTTTTTATGTCATTATTATGACGAGTCTCTAAACAATAGTCATTGATTTATTTTTTGACAGAAAATTAATTTTTTAAAGGTATTGTTTTATGAAAAACAATTATTAATTTTTTAATAAAAATATGAGATTGCCATTTCTATAAATATTATTCTTCTATAGGATAAATATATAACTTAATAATAGTTGAAAATAAAATTAGTTGAAAATATCTTTGACATGGGAAGAGGGCGAGGGCGAGGGCGGCCGCCGAAGAACACGGTGCCTCCGCCAATAAAATCCCCACTGATGTCACCTCCAAAACAACAATCAGAACTGAGAAGCCATCAAGAATGCAACAGTAAATTAATTGAAGAAGAGATTCTGGAAATTGAAACCCTGGATGAACGTCCTGGTAAACCTAATCAAGAAGAAATAGAAACCGCCACTCAATCGAATGATGCCTTACTAGATGCGGTTCCTAAGAAATCTGAGACTGGAAAACCTATTCATGAAGGAGCCTCTGAGGAAGGTTGCAAACTATGGGTAGATGTGCAAAAGGATAATAGAAATCCGACGAAGGGCGGAGCGATGAAATTCATCGCACCCCAAATCGTGAATGGGAAACTTGAAGTTGTAATTGAAGAAGATGATATTATCTCTGAAGTCAAATTTTGGGAATCCTCTTTGATTCTTTACGCAATGGGAGTTGACCTAAGCATGAATGCGGTTAAGAATTTCATGACCAAGAATTGGAACTTTGTTCAATTGCCGGATATGTATTACAATGATGAAGGTTATTTTATCCTTCAATTCAAGTCATTCAAGGACCGAGATGAAGTTTTGCTGAGAGGACCATACATGATAAGAAACATCCCTCTGTTGATTCGTGAATGGAGGCCAGGTTTCAAGGTCAAAGATGAACTTCTGCGAACTCTACCTATTTGAGTGAAACTGCCTCAACTACCCATCATTCTGTGGAGTGATACAAGTTTAAACAAGATAGGAAGCGCTCTTGGAAACCCCATCATGACAGATGAATGTACGACAAACAGACTCAGAGTATCCTATGCGCGAATACTTGTGGAAATGGATATTACAAAATAACTTCCATAAACAATTACCATTGGTGATAATGAAGAAGAAAAGATCCAACAAGCTATTGAGTATGAATGGAGACCCCTGTTCTGCAGTAATTGTCAAAAGGTTGGCCATAGTTGTGACAAACCTAAAGTGACACAACAATGGAAACCTAAACCTGCACCACAACATACAGGTAATGTGAAAACTATGATGGACAACACTGTTGAAAGGATTCCTAGGACTGTAGGAAACAACAACACTGCAGGTAACAAGGTTATTACTGATATTGCTAGTTCCCCTGCTGTGATTAACATTGTTAAGGGTAATACCTTAGCTGAGATTTCCACTGACCTGGTTAGTAAGGCTGCTGATCCACCTCCAGAAAATGAAGTTAACCTAATTAAGCAGGTTGAGGCAGTTATGGAAAAATGGATAGAAGTTATAAGAAGTGGTAAGGATAGAGGCAAACAAAAAGTTAACCCCAATAGTGTAAACAAGATTGTTTGTGATAATGGATACAAGTTTAAACAAGATAGGAAGCGCTCTTGGAAACCCCATCATGACAGATGAATGTACGACAAACAGACTCAGAGTATCCTATGCGCAAATACTTGTGGAAATGGATATTACAAAATAACTTCCACAAACAATTACCATTGGTGATAATGAAGGAGAAAAGATCCAACAAGCTATTGAGTATGAATGGAGACCCCTGTTCTGCAGTAATTGTCAAAAGGTTGGCCATAGTTGTGATAAACCTAAAGTGACACAACAATGGAAACCTAAACCTGCACCACAACATACAGGTAATGTGAAAACTATGATGGACAACACTGTTGAAAGGATTCCTAGGACTGTAGGAAACAACAACACTGTAGGTAACAAGGTTATTACTGATATTGCTAGTTCCCCTGCTGTGATTAACATTGTTAAGGGTAATACCTTAGCTGAGATTTCCACTGACCTGGTTAGTAAGGCTGCTGATCCACCTCCAGAAAATGAAGTTAACCTAATTAAGCAGGTTGAGGCAGTTATGGAAAAATGGATAGAAGTTATAAGAAGTGGTAAGGATAGAGGCAAACAAAAAGTTAACCCCAACAGTGTAAACAAGATTGTTTGTGATAATGGATTTGAGGCTTTTGAGATTTCGAAGGATCTTATAGAGTCTCAAAATACTGGCCAATGATTACATCTTGGAATGTGATGGGGCTGAATAAATTGGGGAAGTTAAAGGAGATTAGCTCTCGTCTCTTTAATCTTCACCCTAAGATTGCAATCTTACTAGAGACAAGAGTTAAGCATGACAGGGCGAGAAAAATCAGAGATCAGCTTAACCTCAAAGGCCAATATCTTGATAATTACAAAGAACATTACAATGGCAGAATTTGGATCTACTGGGATGAGAGACAATGTGATGTCAGAGTGATAAAATGCACATCACAGATGATACAATGTGGTATCCATGATGTAAATGGAGTATTCCAAACCTGGATGACAACTATCTATGCGCTGAACCAACTTGAGCAAAGAAGGAAACTGTGGGAAGACTTGAAACAAATTCATGACAGCCAACAGGGCCGTTGGTTCCTTATGGGCGATTTCAACAATGTAACTAAATGTATGGACAGAATAGGTGGGAACCTGGTGACTGAAAGAGAGTTTGAAGATCTCAGAAGCTTGATGGATCATGCTGGCTTGTTTGAGAAGGATACACAGGAGACTATTTTACCTGGACAAATAAACACTCTATAGGTACCATTTATTCAAAAATTGACCATGTTCTTGGTAATATAGACTGGTTGCAGGATAATATTGATTTGAAGCTGGAGATTCTCCCTCCTAGTATCTCTGATCACTGCCTTTTAGGCTTGAATGCTGAGAAGATTAACAGAGCAATACACAAAAAATTCAAATTTACAAATAATGTGGTGAAGATAGCAGATTATCATGACACTGTCAAATAGAACTGGAACAAAGAGATTACTAGCAGACCCATGGCTAGACTGTGGTATAAACTGTTGAGATTGCAAGCTCTCCTAAGTAGACTGAGCAAACAATTTTCATACCTCCAGCAGACCATTGTCCAAGCAAGGAATGATTTATTACAAACCCAGGAAAGTCTCACAATGGACAGAATGAATACTGAGATCATTGAGAAAGTTAAAACATGTACTGATGAATTGACCTATCTGCAAGAACTTCAGGACAAAATGCTGAGACAGAGGACAATGATTAATTGGCTTAGAGAAGGCGATACAAATTCATCTTTCTTCTATGCTTACCTCAAATCCAGGGCTACAACCACAAATATTAGCCAACTCTATAAAGATGATGGTACCTGTATTCACAACCAGGAAGACATAGAAAAAGAGGTGTGTGAGTTTTATGGAAAATTGATGGGCACAAGGGAACCTAGAATAAATATGATTAATATTGATGTCATGAGGGAGGGGCCTCAACTGTCCATGGAACAAAGAGCTGATCTAATTTCACCAGTGTCTGTTACTGAAATCACTAATGCCTTAAAAGGGATAGGTGACCTTAAGAGCCCAGGTATAGATGGTTACGGAGGAAACTTTTTCAAAGCCAGTTGGGACATTGTTGATAAAGATGTTATTGAAGCTGTTACAGAATTCTTTGAGCAGAATGTGATTTATAAAGCTTTCAATGAAACAATTGTTACTCTTATTCCTAAACAGTCGGATGCCAAAACCTTGAAAGATTACAGGCCAATTGTTGGATGCTCAACAATCTACAAAATCATATCCAAGATCCTCACAACCAGACTTGGGAAGGTGTTGGGAAACATCATCAGTAAAGCGCAGGCAGCCTTTGTTCCAGGTCAAAAAATCCATTCTCACATATTACTAGCTATGGAACTTTTAAAAGGTTATAATAGGAATACTGGTACTCCTAGATGCATGGTACAATTAGATCTCCAAAAAGCTTATGACATGGTTGATTGGGGTGCTCTTGAAAATATTCTTAGTGAAGTAGGATTGCCTAAGAAATTTGTTGATTGGATTATGACCACTGTGACTATAGTTTCTTATAGATTTAATATCAATGGCAAGTATACTGATAAGATCAATGCTAGAAGAGGTATTAGGCAAGGGGACCCCTTATCCCCTCTCCTGTTTGTAATAATTATGGAATATCTCAGCAGATTACTTTTCAGAATGCAAAAGAATCCTGATTTCAACCACCATGTTAAATGTGAAAGGCTGCAAATCACCCACTTAACCTTTGCTGATGACCTCTTGATGTTCTCTAGAGGCGATCATGTGTTCATGGATATTCTACAATTAACTTTGAACAAGTTTCTGGATTCTACAGGTTTGAAAATAAACCCTTCTAAGAGTAGGGTGTATTTTGGTAATGTTTCCGAAAATGTCAAATGTGCCATCCTTCAGCTAACCTCCTACAAAGAAGGGTCTTTCCCCTTTAGATACCTTGGTATTCAGGTGACTAGTAAGCGTCTTGCTATTATCCTTTACATGCCGTTATTGGACAGGTTATTAAGTAGGATAACTCACTGGAGTTCTAGATTGTTGAGTTATGCAGGTAGGCTGCAACTCATCAAGAGTGTGCTCTATGCCATCACAACCTATTGGATGCAATGTATTTGGTTTCCAAAAACTGTGATCAACAAGATCAATGCAATTTGTCGGTCTTTTCTCTGGACAGGTGGTAATATTATCAGTAAGAAAAGTCCAGTAGCGTGGGATAATGTTTGTAAACCACATGTGAAAGGCGGACTAAATGTGATGAATTTGGAAATTTGGAATAGTATGCTTATGATAAAACTTCTCTGGAATATCTATGCAAAATCTGATGATTTATGGGTTCGCTGGATACATGCTTATTACTTAAGACATGAAGGTATTCTGACTAGAATTGTTAAGGGATCAGACTCTGGAATTTTCAAAGCAAAATGTAATACAAAGGGACAATCTAGTGACTATACAGAGTACATGGAATGATATGCTGCAGACAGGTAAATTCCATGGGAGAAAAGTGTATCAAAGCCTTCTACCTATTACTCCTAATGTTGCATGGGCCAAATTAATTCTTCACAATAGAGCTAGACCCCGTGCAATTATTACTCTTTGGATGATCTGCCATGACAAGTTAGTTACCAAGTCTAGACTTTTCAGATTTGGAATGCTCAATAATAACAAGTGTGTTTTTTTGCAATGAAGAGGAAACCATTGATCACTTATTTTGTTGTTGTTTGGAATTGAAGCAAATCTGGATTGGTATTCTTCAGTGGATGGGTATTCAACACAGTCCAAAAAGATGGAAAGAGGAAATGCAATGGGTTCTAAGAAATTATGGCGGGAAAGGCTGGAAATCCGATCTGTTTAGGCTTGCCCTTACAGAAACTCTTCATGAGATCTGGCTTTCTAGAAATGAATCATGTTTTAATCAAAGAACTGATAAAAGGAAGTGCCTAAATAGAATTATAAACAACATAATGTATAGAGGATGGACTAGTCCTAAGCTTAGACCACATATAGCTAGGTTGATTTTACCTTAAATTAGTTTTGTTTGTTTGTTGGCTGGATCCTCTGATCGCCTTGTTTTGTACTGTTTTTTTGAGTTAATGTCAAATTTCTTGATTCAAAAAAAAAAATATAACTTAATTTATTTTTAACTTTAGAATTATTAACGCATCAAAGGTATTAATATAAAACTAAATTTATTTTGAGATTATATAACGATACATATCAAAAAAATAAAATAAGATGAATAATAAAAGTGAATTAATAAAAATATTAAATACAAATATTTCAAAAACTTAGAACTAGAGGATAAAGATCGAAACTAATTAACCACTCTCCTTTATTCATTGTCTTTATGGTAATTACTCTTCAACTTCAATATACTTTAAATAGTAATTTGTTTTTCATTCAATTAGTAAATTAGTGATTATGTTTTCGTAACAACAAGTATTTTTCTATTTTTTTTTTGTTGTTGATACAATATGTGTTTTAATTTTTTAAAGAAAAAGGAAAAATGCAAAATATATATTCTTTTAAAATATAAAAAACAAAAAAATAATAGTGTCATAGTTTTTATTGAAAAATGTAGAAATTCTTTTAAGACTCAATCTCCGTGGAGATATGTGGGATGGGGAATCATATTCCTCCGTGGCGGGGAGTGGAGAAACATCCTCGGACAAGTCAAATTATAATCTTATTTATTATAAAAATAAAAATAATCAAATAATGAATCTAATATTAATGACATAATATTTAAAGATACAAAACAATAAAATTATTGTTTTACTAATCTGAATTTATTTACATATCATCTAGTAGCTCAATTTATTAGAGTGTTGTGCTAATAACGAGTCATATTTTTTATACATTTTTCTTCAAAGTTTTCTGATCTTATCATTTTTTGATTATCCTATCTTATAATGTCATTACCATAATAAGCCTCTCATTTGAAAAGATGATTTATCTTTCCTTTCATGACAGTTTATGGTACATATGAATTATACTATTCAAATATCTTATGCCATTATTATGACGAGTCTCCAAACAATAGTCATTGATTTATTTTTTGACAGAAAAATAAATTTGTAAAGGTATTGTTTTATGAAAAAAAATTATTAATTTTTTCAATAAAAATATGAGATTGCCATTTCTATAAATATTATTCTTCTATAGGATTAATATATAACTTAATTTATTTTAAACTTTAGAAATATTAACGCATCAAAGGTATTGTTATAAAAGAAAATTTATTTTGAGATTATATAACGATACAAACAAAAAAGTTTAATAAGATTAATAATAAAAGTGAATTAATAAAAATATTAAATACAAATATTTCAAAAACTTAGAACTAGAGGAATAAAGATCCAAACTAATTAACCACTCTCCTTTATTCACTGTCCTTATGGTAATTACTCTTATAATTCAATATACTTCAATTAGTAATTTTTTTTCATTCAATTAGTAAATTAGTGATTATGTTTTCGTAACAACAAGTATTTTTATAATTTTTTTGTTGTTGATACAATATGTGTTTTAATTTAAAAAAAAAAAAGGAAAATGCAAACCATATCATCTTTTAAAAAGTAAAAAATAAAAAAATAATAGTGTCATAGTTTTGATTGAGAAATATAGAAATTCTTTTAAGAATCAATCTCCGTGGATCTCCGATTCTCCGTGGAGATATGTGGGATGGGGAATCATATTGCTCCGTGGCGGGGAGTGGAGAAACATCCTCGGACAAGTCAAATTATAATCTTATTTATTATAAAAATAAAAACAATCAAATAATGAATCTAATATTAATGACACAATATTTAAAGATACAAAATAATAAAATTATTGTTTTACTAATCTGAATTTATTTACCTATCATCTAGTAGCTCAATTTATTAGAGTGTTGTGCTAATAACGAGTCATATATTTTATACATTTTTTCTTCAAATCCTTCTGATCTTACCATTTTTTCATTATCCTATCTTATATTGTCATTACCATAATATACCTCTCATTTGATAAGATATCTCTCATTTCATGACAGTTTATGGTACATATGAATTATACTATTCAAATTTCTTATGCTATTATGACGAGTCTCTAAACAATAGTCATTGATATTTTTTTTGACAGAAAAATAAATTTGTAAAGGTATTGTTTTATGAAAAAAAGTTATTAAGTTTTTCAATAAAAATATGAGATTGTCATTTCTATAAATATTATTCTTCTATAGGATTAATATATAACTTA